GAGTTCCTGGCATGGCTCCTCTGTCCTGTCCACACCACATCCCACGTGTCTTTGATTCAATCAGTGGCCCTATTTGCCTCTCTTCATGTCTAACCATCCATCCTTCACGGGTATCTACTGAAATAAAGTTACCGATCACATTTTAAAATCCTTTCAGAAGAAAATATTAAAATTGAGCAAATATATCCTAACCAAATATTCATCTGGGCTAGCTTATGTCAGCAAAATCAATGTCACCCATAGTGGAAAAGTTAAAAGTACTTTTCAGAAGCCACTACTAGATTTGCTGATTATTTAACTTCTCCCTGTTTTTTTAATGTGTCTTGGTTTATTCACGTCAGAACCACTACCTGTCAGTTATCACAAATATATTTCTTTAGCAGAATCAAGAGAATAAAAAAGGACAGAAAACAAAAAGATAGCAGTGTATCATTTACACCAAGTATTTCCTTGGATCTAGTATGGGCAAAGTGAACAGTGTAATTTGCTGTGTCTGTATGATGCATGATTTTAAGGTAACATGGGAATGGAAGTATTGTATGTATTTTTTTATTGTGTCAGGAGGATTATATTTGTATGTCAAACATACACTCTGATTTTCACATGAGAAAAATAGAATATTTGTTTCTATGTGATATAAATATACATCTTTTCATATGATATATTTTCTTTCCAGCTCATCAAAATAACATGTGGGATTTATGGGCAGGGAAGAAACATGAAAGAGATAAATACATCAAGGCAACTAGGAGACTTTCATACCTGAGCCATATCCAAGAATAGCCACAATTAGAGTAACGAAACAATGATCTTGAGCTAAAAGCTTTTGGAAATCCTTATGACAATCATTAAAATAATAGTGTAGGCCGGGCGCGGTGGCTCACGCCTGTAATCCCAGCACTTTGGGAGGCCGAGGCGGGTGGATCACGAGGTCAAGAGATCGAGACCATCCTGGTCAACATGGTGAAACCCCGTCTCTACTAAAAATACAAAAAATTAGCTGGGC